TTAGAACATCATATTGCCTCACAGAAGCAGTGCTGTGTTCTTGCACTAAAGTTGTCCATATCTGAAAATCAATCCATGCTTTGTTAGCCCAACATTTGCTGTTTTATTCACAATGAGCTATCTCATCCTCTGCCTGGACTTTTGCTGTGATGCGCTTGTAGTTTGGAGGTCTGGAAGCTGAACCATTAATTCTTGGGCACTATGGCATGTGTTCGGGGCAATCAGAGGACAGAGCATTTGGAGAAATTGGCAGATGATAAGGGGAGTGGAGCTGCCAGTGGCTGGGTATTTTGGGTTGCATGGTATTCTTGAGGTTATTCCTGGGTCTATATAACAGAGCTCAGGTCCTATGATAGTGTCCCGGCTGGCTTGAGTAAGTGGGCCTAGAATTGGTTAAAATGATAAAATGTGTTTTATTTTCTTAATTAACACTTAAAGGTCTGTGCACACTGAGTTCAAAATTTTCGTATGGGTTTTTTCGTATTTGTTATCCTAAAAATTTGTCACGCACAGAAACCTTGCACACTGAGTCCGATGCGTATTAATTAATCCGTTGCGAAAAAATTTGCAAAACAGCACTAAATGTAGTCTTCAAGCAGGGAGGATGATTTTGTTGTTGTTCTCGCTTCTTAAAAAGAGAAATATTGGGTCCATCCAATCCTGAGATATAGAGAGGAAGGAGAGTTCCCCCTCAGGAACAGCGGGATTATCCTGGGTGATTCAAAGTTTACTTCAGGATGTCAGTGGCTCAGTTTGATGCTTTGCTAGCGATACTAGAGCCACATGTTAAAAAGAAGACCACCAATTTCTGTGAGCTCAGTGCGTAAGGATCTTTACAGTGCTTTGTGCTGCGAGACGAAGTGGATGAACTTGATAATCGCCATTCTGGATTTTGGCATTCGCTTGTACGGTGGCTCTGAACTGTCAAAACACCTCTCAAAATGCTTGCTTTGGAGGCGAAAAATGGATCCGAATTTTTTTATGACAGACGAAAATTTCGGAGGCAGTGTGTAAACGTGATTGACATAATATGAGGTGCTATTTATTTTTTAATGTGCAAAAATTTCTGACAAAATTTTCGGACTGTGCAATGTGCAATGACCTTTAGGCTTTATTTTCTATATGCTAAATTGTATTTATTTATTTATTTACGTATGTTTTGGGTTCAGTGTGGTCTGGACATATTTTTGAGAGATTCACAATCCGTTTATGGTACCACGTACAGTAAATACCATGCTAAATGAATATCACCCAGTAACATTGTGAATATTTTCCAGTTCTATAGTCAATTAAAAAAATGCCATAATATTACCATTGGATGCTATCATTGCACCATTGTGCTGCCACAATTTCCAAAGGTCTATCTGGTACTGGAAAATTTTTTCGGGGAAAATTATATCAAGAATTATGAATGTATTTGGATCATCATAGTTCAATATTCAGGGTTCAGTACTATGAAAAGAGGTGGGGCGGGTGGCTCGGGTGCCTTCGTGTCAGCATGCAACAGAAGATCTCCATTTCCTATCACTTTCCAGTGCTCTTGCATAAGGCTGGTAACAGGTGGTTGTGATATGCGGCTTGATATTGATACTTTAACTGACATAGCACTGCCTAAACATTTATTGGAAGCATTAAATGTTCCTTGTGTTTATAGTTCAGTGTTGTTTGTTGAGTGTACCACCAAAAGCGCTCTCACACAAACATAGACACGCATAGTTTTACACCTAGAGTCCTCTAGGCATCATCACATGGAGTATTTTTGACGCCCCAGCTCAGTTCGCCTTCGGATGAAGGTTGTCTGCAGAGCAGGAAGTGGACGCAAGTCCAGAATGCGTCAGGAATCAGAACACTTGCTTCCACGTGTCTGTGTGCTCGGTTTCGGCTTTCACTTCAGGGCTTTAAGTCTCTCCACACCCAGTCCACCAAAGTGTCCACTCATCCTACTGCTGGCTGCGCTGTTGCAGTTTTTGACACGTTATCTGCTTCTTGCTGCCGCCACTTGCCGTGACTCTGTGGTGATATATTTTTAGCCCCATTTTTGCCTTTAATGATTGCATCCACAGGGAGCTTGGTCCAAAGAACTGTCATTAAATTATTCTATAACTGTGTTGCTTAGCAATAAAGCATTTTAATACAATTCTCAAATAGCTCTACTATAAATCATAGCAGGGAAAGCTTTACAGTGGTGTGGAGCTATTGCTTGGGTCATTCAATACATAAATGTAACGGTGGGACTAACTGTAGGTTGTTTTTCAATCAGGACCTCCCGGTTTGAGGGGAAAGAAAGGCCGTGATGGGGCTCCAGGTAGGTCTACAGTACGCATATGCCTGTGCCTGCAAAGCCACGAACTGCTGTTGTGTGTAAGCTGCTACGTATTTGCGCACCTAAAGCTTTTAATAGCAAGAGAAGCATGAAAACACAATCCTCAAACATACAATTTCAAAACATTCAGAGATGCTTAGACTTTACAGAATAGATTTAGGGAGTCCTAGTGCAGAATTAGTGGTATTAATAAAACATTTTGTGGTCACATCCATCAAGATTGTATTTTTATAAGAGCTTATAGAATTTTGACTTGAAACATGAAGTCTGTTACTCTTTGCAGCTATTTCTAGCAAAGAACTGCCCACTTAGACAGGAAGTAACTGTCAGACTGATATATTTGTTTAGCTTTTATTTGTCATTTAGGGTAGGTTTACATAAAATGGATTAATAATCCATAATCACAACACTAACTAGTTCCATTAATTAAAATAGCAGAGCAGAACTCTACAAATCTTTGTACAGTGTCAGAAAAAAATTGTACACTTAGAGGTACAACAGCTTGTCACTGTCTGGGACAGAAACTTTAAAGGGATAACTTTGTTCCCCTAAATGGTACATATTGCTCCCTTGAGGTACTACTTTGAACCTTTTAGGCCTAAATAAGGTACTTTTGGGGTACTGTCCCAGTTATAAACTGTTGCACCCCCTAAATGTAAAATGATGCACTTTTTTTGAAAGTGTTTAGAAATTACTGTAAAAAATTGCAGAATAAAATTCTGATTCTCAGCACTTTTCAGGTGCCTTTACTCCTTGAAGATGCATAAAGCCATTGAGATTTGATTTGATGATTTCAGCCATTTTTGTTTCAACCAATATGTATCGGATGGTCAGTAAATGGACTGTAGGTGATTGGAGGCTGCTACTATATGACCTATAGATTCCTCTATATTTTGTGCGTTTAAAGTGGTTTCATGTAAAGAGTCATGGATCACACGGGTAAGATGAGAACGTTTATGATGACAAAGATTGATCTGGAATGTGCAGAGAGCTATTCTTGCATGACCGCACATATTTTGCTTGTGTTGTTCACTCATTGTTTTAGGCCTAAAATAGGGCTTGCTGTCTCAGCAGCAGCTTTGATAAATGCCGGTTCTGATTTCTAAGAAAATACAGGGTTCTCAAAACAGGAAAGGAAAAAGTAATGATGGACCCATAGGAAAGCTTTGTCACCGATGTGACTGTGCCATTACTTAAGGCTACCATATTTAATGCACCAGTTTGACTTCAGAGCTCAGTGGAAATGTAGATTTCTTCCTTGTTGAAGAATTCTAGTTCATGTTTGCTTGAAACATTTCTCCTGCAGTAAACAATGGTTTTATTGGGACTTTTGTTCTCTCTTCCATCCATTATAGTTATTTTTTGTAAGTCAAAGATTCATACTTGTTACTCCCCTAAGTTTCTGGCCATGAAAATTTCAAACTCTTTAGAGGACAAAAAAATGGTTTCTGGATGAAAGACCTGGAAAGAAACCGTATGATTCAGATTGTTCTGTAGTTCTGTGACAAATTGCTTTGACGGACTGGTTTTGTTCTTGCAGTTGTCCAGGTATAATAAGTTATTAGATGAGAGTTCTGGTGATATAAGTGGAAAAGATTTGTCATCAGCAATTTTGAGTTTGTTTTTACTTGACAGAGCTTGAGTTCCTGAAGCTATGATCTCCGTTCTGCTTGATTGCTGTGTTTTTGTCAAAGGATGTAAAAGAGGCCGTACATCCTACTAATGCATGTGCTTATAATTTTAAATTGTGGTTTTTGTAATACTCAAAATGACCGTTTAACTCATTTTAAATCAAGTTTGTTTAAAGCTTAGAGATCCTTTCACATTATAATTTTAAAAAACCAAACTTTTCAAAGCAACCAACCTCATGACTAAGTCCACATGGAATCTGCACCCTTGCATGTTCGTTTATTAAATATTAAAGCACATTTTCATTATGCTTTCAGCAACCAATAAGAGTGTAGAAATCTCAATTCCATTTAACATAATTTCCTCAGGGTTTTAATCTATCCTGCGTTTTCCACCAGGATCACTGTGAAAAACTTGTAACTTTTCTTTAACTTAACGATGTTAGTGAAATCTGTTTCCACTGTTTATTATGCGGCTAGTGTATGATTTAGCATTAGCTATGAAGGAGATGGACAGTTTGTGATGTCTGGGTGGGGTTAGCGTGCTCAGAACGGGTGTGATTTATCTGTACAGGCAGTCTTCCAGTGATGTGGCTCAATCTCAAACTCAGTCCTCAGTGGTCTGCTACTTGGTGGGCTGACTGCTCATCCCTGGGCCAGAGACAAGCAACACTTTCTCATAAAAAGCTTTTCAATCCTGTCATCAACTAAATTATAAACATATTTTTTAACGTTTTGTTTACGTACCGAACCTATACTGTGACGCACTTCATTAAACTACCTGCGTGTGAACTCTAATCTTCCTCAGAGGTCGTGTTACAGTAAGAGAAATCGGAGGCAGCGTTCATCAGTTCAGTCTGGGCTGGACAGCCAGGAAACTGGGTTCTGGTTGGACTACGCAAATTCAGACTTGCGTGACAGAAATTTTTCCTGTTCTTGGGGAAATAAAATCCATCAGGGTCAAATGTTTGATGTAATGTGCACATGGACCAAACAAGATGATTTTTTTCTAAATGACTAATTTATTTTTCTTTCTGTTTTTATTGCAGGTCCTCCTGTAAGTAGATGTTGGTCCCTATGTTGACTGGATTGTGGTAATGTGACCCAAACTCTGTGGCTTTCTGTGTATTTGTGTGTGTTTTGAGAGTGTGAATTTATCTTTCATGTGTTTCCTTACTGTCACTGCTGATGGAGTGCTGATTACACGACTTCATTGACATAATGGAAATCGTTAGTTTCGTTTCCTTCCGCCTCACATATAAACACCCACACTGTCATCTGTCAGAAGAAGAGCTTGTGTTTTGTACTAAAGGTGAAGTGTGCACATTTTGGATGTTGAAATAAAATCTGGTTTAATGTGCAGAGATTCTGTGGCTCTATCAAAACATTGATTAGATTGTTTTCAGCATTCAGTGCAGCCCAATATGGCAGCACTGACTCAACCAATGATGTGAGTTGAGTCAGTTTGGGCAACAAATCACATATAGAGAGGGCGTGTTCTGGAGACTTGTGTGAAAGCAATCATTATTTTTCCAATTTTGCTTGGTGGCACAGAAATGACACACTTCACCTTAAATCGCATGGCATTATCTTGGACATAGCGAAGCAATTCTTTTGCCTCTTGGACATTGGGAATTTGGCCACGGATATAGAAGACGACAGCATTGGTAGACACAGCCTGTTCAACTTTATATATCTTCTGAGGGCTAATGTTACAGAATGAGGTTATAATGAGAAAGAAGGTCAAAAGAAATATATAGTAGAGGAAAAAAGAGAGTTGAGCAGTATAAAATTAGGTGCGGTTGGACAGCTGCGTCCCTGCAGTTAGAGGGAGAAGGTCGAGCTTAAGTGATTAATGAAATACCAGCAGCCACAGATAAACACTGACCACAGAAAAGACAAATCTAAAATGAAATATCTTAACATTTTCTCCTAGAAAGCAGTCAGATTAAATGAAGAGAAAATGTTGTCTTCTGCTGAAACCTACTGTGAAAGAGACCCCAGTAATCTCGGGTTTCTCCTCTAACGTTTTAGAAGGCATCACTGTTTCAAACTGTTCTAAGATGTGCCAGTATACCAAAGACTGCAGTCATTTCTCATCAGATTGTCCATAAATCATCCGACATAGGTTCATTGGAAAAAATGTGCCTAAATGTACATTTTTGCAAAACATACCTATACACAAAGTTCATTGTAGTTTCCAGCTGAAATGAACACTAGAGGCAGTAAAACACCAACTTCTTTTTCACTTAAATTATGATTACAGGGCAGATTTTTTGATTAATAAAGGCTTATTTTTGTGTGGTTCCTTGGACAATACTATGTTATGACTTCAAAACACTTACCATAGTGCAAAATTTGTAAACTCATACAATTTGATGGTTCCATTACATCACCAGCTCAATATGTATGGCTTTTCTGATCTAGTAAACTTGCTTGGTAGCTCACCTTGTACAACATTGCATTTACTATGTGGAGCCCTTGGGTACGAGTCCATGAAACGTAATAATAAAACAGATCAAAGGCTTGTATAAAATGGCATGGTTACTTCAGCTAATGCATTTTTATCTCACATATTGTTTAGGTTTAGGGTAGGGTTTAGTGTAGGGGCATACATTATTTTAAAAAGCAATGGAGCAATAACCTTTTAGCACCACTCATCAGACATTTCATACAACCAACATAATAAAATTCCCCTTCATTTGTTAGGATAAAACTGAATGCATTTATAGCACTTGGAAAGTTTCGCAAAACATGCAAGAAGCAACATAATATAATTTTGTGGAAATGTCACCATAGGCACGCTTTTCCAATGACCTTGGGTTGAAATGATCGGAGCAATGGTCACAATAATGTAATAGTACTGTACTATTATTGTATTACAACAGTTGTCTCATTTTAATTTTTCTAAGAAATTTTAGGAGAAACACCTGAGATAAATACTATGGACTATATGAATGAACTATATTAAAGGGATCGTTCACCCAAATTTATATCATCATTTACTCACTGTGATAATTCAATAATCATTGATGTTTATTATAATTTAACCTCAAATCTGGCATGACATGTCTTCACGAATGGACCATTTATTTGACATTTTTACAGTATGTGACGTTTTTACAGTATGTGATTGTTGGAGCTTGAATGAGTCTGTCCCCTCTCCCTTTAATTCAGTTTTGCTTTATTTTTTTGGGGTGAACTGTTCCTTTATGTCTTCTGAGCTATGAAAGTGAAATTTATGAGCAACAAATAATCCCTTTGGGTGAGCAGGTTCCAGGGCCCAAAAACTCACATATGTATATGAACATTTCAACACCTGCTCATATAACCCATATATTGAAGGCAAATTGAGAAGAACTGAAAGACAGGTGAGGGAACTGTCAAACAATGCACGTCTGTTAACTAACTTAAACATTAAGCTGATATTTCTACTGTTGTCAAGTAAGATTGTTTAGAGATAGTTAGTGAATTCTTTTAATCAAGTCAGTCTTCTTTAAACAGGTTTGGTGATCTATTGGCAATCAGTGTCAGTAAGTCTTTAACTACAGTGTTTGTTTTCAGAAAGAGTTTGGCAAGCCTGGTGCCTGATCAATGGTCATAGAGGGCTGTCCCATTACACTGACCTATGGCAATTCTTAGAAGAGCGTATACTGTAGATTATCCAACAAGAAAACTAAGACAACACTCTTACTGATGTGATGGCAATTGTAAAACTTCACCAAATTGGCCTTTTCCTGTGCGCTGAAAGTGAATACTTTGAAAAGTTTAAATGCACAATAGTCTGTGGTTCTTCACAGGTCACCTCACAGGAGCATAGCCTTTTGCCTGCTTTTGAGGCATGGTTGGCCTAACCCAGCCTTAAACAATTAGTAGTGACAGGAAACATTTTACACTGACAGAAAGCACCTCAGTTTAGTGTGTTGAAAACTCCTGTGGAACATTGCAATGGTCAGTCTCAAGCACATGAACATTAGGGGTGAAACACTTGAAAATTAGGGGTGAGAATCAGCAGGGACTTGGTGATATAGTATTATATCATTTATGTTTAGTGTAAATTATGATTTGTATGTTTCTTATTTATCTGGAATGGACTTCAGTGCTTTATGAGTTTATATTTATAGGTCAGTCTGAATTTGTGTTTGGTTTAAGAGCAGGAATCAAGTATGCATGGCGTCCACAATATATTTTATCTACTCACAGACTTAAGGTGTGGTCAAATTTGGAAATTTTGCTCACAAAGTAGTCACTTTCAAACCAAACAGCTTTCTGTTCGTTAACGCAACACATCTGCGTGACCAATTTGAACCTGTTGAAGTTATTGAATTTGGTCTTCGATAATTCACAGAACTATTGTAAATTTACACAACTTTACACTGTGTCCAAAACTGCATACTTTCCAAGTAGGTACTTCTTTTAAATAAGTAATTACTTTATGACATTCTATATTGTATTAATATGTGTAGTGCAAATGAATTCCGGACATACTATACTATATGGTCATGTGACCTACCAGTGTCAGTTGCATCACTTCATTGTCATTCACAAATCCTGTCCCATGGCCTCATGGGATAGTAAAGCATCTGTTGGATGCACATTTCAGAAGTAGTAGTAGGTACTTTTCGCCAGCTTTTTTATGAATACTACTCTTTTCACATACTAGGGAAGTAGGCATATTCACATGCACGGTTAGTAAATCTTTCCAAAAATATTAATGCACATCCAAAAATAAAAATTCATGGCAATGTGATATCGACACATTATTTTGAGGTAAATTTTCACAATACTTTGTCCTGCTTTGTTTTTAAAAGAACAGTGTGATTAAATTAGTGATATACTTGCTGAATTCCGCATTTTTCAGTATTTTTACTGCATGTGATCTGTAAGTGCCCTGTGTTCGCTGAATATATCTTATCCGTGCAATGTTGCGCTCTAGGGAAGCATTCGCCCCCGTTTCCCCTGGGGAGCCCCTTCATTTACCCAGCAGTGCTGTGGGCTGAATGAGAGCCACATGTACCCTGCTACCGTGGATCTCAAATGAAATGTTCTTCCGGTGGGTGACCTCTGACCTCGCCAGACGCTCCTTTGGGCCGGCCTGAGCAACACCCAGCAGACCTCAGTGGCCTGTTCCCACTCAGCACCTGGGCCTGCACCTTAGACCTGCTTCACATACTTCAACACATTCATATACACACAGCACATGTAGACCCGCTCACTCTTACACACATAGAGCACTACACACAGTCCTGATCTCAGCTTCGTCCAGCGGAGGTCTGTTCCTCTCTCAACACACCGCCGCTTATAAACACCTGGTCCAGCTGCGTCCAGCTCTCATATACCTTGTACCACTGCTCTGCCACATGTGTGCCTTCTGAACCTAAATATCCTATTAATGGTCTTTCATTGTTTCCCACACACGTCAACAGTCTACATTTAGTGACACACGTTAGATTTAACGAGAACAGGCTTTTTGTGATTGCCTAGTTGCAGAAATGCAAAATCTTTTTGGTTTTTGGACTCTTGGAGTAAATATTGCAATAAATAGTTTTTTTGTTCTGGCTAACTAGTCCGTGTTCAACAGGTTCAACCTTTTTTTTTTTTGGTCTGAATGTTGTATGGTCATATGAAAGCATACAGACAGAAGATAGTGCCACGGATGTTTTTGTCCGTCTGCAATAGTTTCTTCCCCTGGGCTGAGGCTTGATAAATGGCTTCCCTCTCCACACTGTAGTCTGAGAGGAAAGTCAACACACACAAACACTAGTACGCACTTCCACAGGCTAATGAAAGGAACTGTAGATGCATCATCAGATAATGAAGAGTGTCAAGGTGGTCTTAACAGAAATAATCTTTCTTTGAATCAAGCAGCTGTCAGGTTTTTTTTACCACTAATCCTCTGCAATGAAAAATGTACACAGTTTTTTTTTTCACAGCTGAATGGTGCTCCGTGAAGAGAGTGAACTTGTGATTTGATTTGATTTGATTTGATTTAAACCAGAGCGATCTCCTTAATCGACTCTGAAGTCAAGCATGAGATAAGGATTTTCAGCCAGCACCTTCATCTGTGAAACCATGTTTCATGCATGCGTGGGCCTTTTAATGAACATCTTTTTTAATCCAACATATGGTTCTGTTCATTGTTCATGCTGGCACTAAATGTTTAGTCCTGAAATGATCTTACTGAAATATAGATCATGATTAGTAATGACGTGAACTGAATTGACTTTCACACTGAAAAAACAAAAAATTGTATATAAACATCCTTAATAAAGATTTTATTGAGAAAAATTATGTAAGTTAATCAGACTATTATTACATATTATTCTAATTAAGTTTTTGTATCAATGGGCAATTTTTTTTAAATTATTTTAAGCGTAAACCTCACTAAAATTTTACTTGAAACAAGAAAAATTATAATTAAGTTTGAGGTATATTTCTGGAAAACAGTTTTTATTACCTGTATTTCTTCTGGAGTAAATTTGTCTTGTGTTAAGGATGTTTATATTACATTTTTACTGTAAAAATATAGATTAAAATGGGTTTCAATGAAAAGTGAAAGCTATTAAATAAAAGAAACATGTTATGATATTAAAAAAGATTTTCTGGGGTCCAAAGAAAATTCTGTTGTGGAAGCATTTGATGGTGTTTGCATTTGTGGAATGCTTCTTTGGAGTGTTTTCCTGCTGTGACCTTTGAACCTTGCCACAATGAAATTTAATGCTGGATCACAAAGTTCCTCAGTAAAATTGATTCACTATTCAATATTGAAATCAAATCATTGTAAAAGCAGATTGAATTTTATTATGGCTTGGCAGGGTGTTGTGTTCTTCTAGATCAGTATTGTTGACTGGTTCTTTCTTTATTCTGTACCCATTTCTCTCGCCCCTTTTTCAGGTTGTATGGTCATATGAAAGCATACAGACAGAAGATAGTGCCACGGATGTTTTTGTCCGTCTGCAATAGTTTCTTCCCCTGGGCTGAGGCTTGATAAATGGCTTCCCTCTCCACACTGTAGTCTGAGAGGAAAGTCAACACACACAAACACTAGTACGCACTTCCACAGGCTAATGAAAGGAACTGTAGATGCATCATCAGATAATGAAGAGTGTCAAGGTGGTCTTAACAGAAATAATCTTTCTTTGAATCAAGCAGCTGTCAGGTTTTTTTTACCACTAATCCTCTGCAATGAAAAATGTACACAGTTTTTTTTTTCACAGCTGAATGGTGCTCCGTGAAGAGAGTGAACTTGTGATTTGATTTGATTTGATTTGATTTAAACCAGAGCGATCTCCTTAATCGACTCTGAAGTCAAGCATGAGATAAGGATTTTCAGCCAGCACCTTCATCTGTGAAACCATGTTTCATGCATGCGTGGGCCTTTTAATGAACATCTTTTTTAATCCAACATATGGTTCTGTTCATTGTTCATGCTGGCACTAAATGTTTAGTCCTGAAATGATCTTACTGAAATATAGATCATGATTAGTAATGACGTGAACTGAATTGACTTTCACACTGAAAAAACAAAAAATTGTATATAAACATCCTTAATAAAGATTTTATTGAGAAAAATTATGTAAGTTAATCAGACTATTATTACATATTATTCTAATTAAGTTTTTGTATCAATGGGCAATTTTTTTTAAATTATTTTAAGCGTAAACCTCACTAAAATTTTACTTGAAACAAGAAAAATTATAATTAAGTTTGAGGTATATTTCTGGAAAACAGTTTTTATTACCTGTATTTCTTCTGGAGTAAATTTGTCTTGTGTTAAGGATGTTTATATTACATTTTTACTGTAAAAATATAGATTAAAATGGGTTTCAATGAAAAGTGAAAGCTATTAAATAAAAGAAACATGTTATGATATTAAAAAAGATTTTCTGGGGTCCAAAGAAAATTCTGTTGTGGAAGCATTTGATGGTGTTTGCATTTGTGGAATGCTTCTTTGGAGTGTTTTCCTGCTGTGACCTTTGAACCTTGCCACAATGAAATTTAATGCTGGATCACAAAGTTCCTCAGTAAAATTGATTCACTATTCAATATTGAAATCAAATCATTGTAAAAGCAGATTGAATTTTATTATGGCTTGGCAGGGTGTTGTGTTCTTCTAGATCAGTATTGTTGACTGGTTCTTTCTTTATTCTGTACCCATTTCTCTCGCCCCTTTTTCAGGGTCCACCTGGACGAGCAGGCTTTCCGGTAACTGTCTCATAATGTGTCCTGTTGTCTGTCTATATGTCTGTTTGGTTTTCTTGCATTTTGCCTTTCTTTAGTAGTGTCTTATTTTTAAGAAGCTGTATACAAACAATTCAACCAGAAACTTGAATATGAAAAATTCTGAATTAAGTATTATGCAGTATGTCATGTATACAGCTTCTTTATTTGGACACACTGAGACCTCCTTTTAACCAAGGGACTGAGGAAGAAAAGTTATGATGTAAAATGAAGATGTATTTCAGATTTGGCACTATTTCTTGTTTGCTAATTAAATAAATGTATGACATTGTTCATGTAAACTCAAATGATCTTGCATCCATTGAAGCTCAAGATGCTCTTTAGATCATTCTCAAATCACGCCAAAGTTACATGATCATCAGGATTCAGTCCATAGTTATGCTTGTAATATGAAATGAGGAAGGAATCCAAAGTGGTCTCAGACTTTTGGACCCCACTGAACATTCCCCTAAACCAGATAAGCAAAGCTAGGCTTAATGAAACGAGTCTTTTTGATAGGCTCAGTGGACAAGTTTCTATTCCTTCAAGTTAGCACATTGTATTTTATACTTAGGCCCTTTGGTGTCTGTCTGGATCCACTTGTCTGCATTTCACCTATAATTCTAATATTACTGACCAAAACTCAAACACATCTGTCTTTCATCATGGCATGCTAGAAGAATCCCATCTAATGTGAACTCTAGTTCTACCTGCCAATTATAACCTACAAACCCCCATCACTCATGACAGCTATTCTTGTGAAACTTTGCCGTAAAATCTTTTTTTGCTTACTTTTTGTTTAAATTGTTGACAGGGCTGGTCAAAGTATGGATGTAATCCCTGCCAAAGCTTTTGATTGATTGCATCGTCAGGAAATGAAATTAAATTTTTGGATGGACGGTAGGGGAGGGTGGCAAGTGTGTTACACGAAATGTGTCCATTAGATTAGTTCTTCAAAAAATATTGATATTGGCAGTCATGCTCCGTTGAACTATTAAGGGATACTTGTGGTTTGTATATTTAAGCGTTACTGCACATTCACATGTATGTATGACTATTTAACACTTCTGATTTGTAGTTAAGTACTTTAAGGCTCATTTGGAGAAGTCTGGACTTTGTAGTGTACTTCAACAAGCTACTTCTAATCTAAAGCTCTAGATGATTTTACATACTTTCTACAATAGAAAGATTCTCTTTCACAATGACTGCTTTGAATATTGGCAGTACTGTTTGACTTTTATAGTGTATGGCTTATACTGTGTATTTGAGGATAACAATCATATTAAATAGATGATTTAAAACTATTTTATATATAAAATAATGCATAAAATCATTACAATTATTATGGTAACTAATAAATACTGTGGTAAATAATGAATGCCATAAAGCAATATTAAGTTATCTCAAATCAGCACCTTGGACAGAGCCAAGAGAATTCAGTCAAGTGACTTTCCTCTTGGGACATTCTGCAGCAGGCAGTGAATTAACTCTGAAGGTCAAAGTAAATGAACACTTCTAATATGGGAACCTTTATCTTAATAGCTTTGGGGCTTATTAAATCAACTAAGCACCAGAAAAGCTACAGTTCATGAGCAAATTCATTGTTTTAGCAAATGTTTTGTTGACTTCTGATGAGTTATGGGGGCTTAGCCAACCCACCCCTTTGCCCGCACCCTCCACCCTTTTTCCATTACTTGTTACTCGAGTGAGTCGTCAGCAAGCTGTCAACGCTCCCAGACCTTCTAATACACTGACCTGCAATGTTAGGAATGCAAATAAAAACAGCTGTAGGAATGGACAGCCTTGCATAATAAGTCCCTTCAACGTTGCAGGAGTTTATAGCTGCATTAAATAGCGTAAAATGTTTGGAAATGCATTGGTACAAAGCTGTAAATGGTGAATCCTTATGATCATTTTTTCAAGATCTCAGGTTACTGCTCACACATTTTCCATATGTTCCGGGGATTTTTGCCTTAATTGAAAGAAGTGGTCGGATTTTGAGTAGGGATTGCAGCTATGATTATTATAGAATGGGGTTCATAGTTGTTAAAGTGATAGTTCACCCAAACATGAAAATTCAGCTTTTTTATGTCTTCAAAGTTTTCTAAACCTTTCCATGGAACTTAAAAGGAGAACATTCCATTGTTAATTCCATTGTTCATTATAACTGTATGGCAGTGGCGAGCGGTGACTTTTTTAACTGGGTATGCTGAGTGACAAGACAACCCCCTCCCCCATCGGCTTTTAGGACACTCAAAAGGTATCACAGATGACAAATAAGAAACGCCGTGGCATGTGTCGATTTAAAAGTATGCACATTCCCTACCTTATTTGTAAATGAAATTCATCTCCAATCCTTCTTCTGTTGTTTCAGGTTTATCCATTGTTATTCGAATGCAAGAAAAATATAGCTGGTTTTCCAAGTAAAAACCGCCAAATAAGGTTTACACATATTTAAGCTATGATACGTAATCAGAGGGTGGGGATATATCAGCTAAATAATTTTTTTATTCACAGTGAATAGGAGTTAAAACTCCCACCCAGGTGACACTCCAATAACAGACCATGCAAAATACCCAAAAGTATTTAAAATATTGCAAAGTAACTTTGCAACCTTGCAAACAATATTAAAATCAGAGAAGGACTTCAACTGTAAGCGACACGAGCATATACGCAAAACAATATGATTTTTGTTATTATTAAAATGTTATATAGCCCACGTTTTTATATAAAAAATAATAATTTACCGCTTAGACAATAACGTTGACAATAACGTATATCTTCAACGTATGTTGTCTATGACCAAAAATGTAAGTTCCCCTTTAGGAACTCGAGCTGCGTCGAGATCCGCTTTGGGAACGCCCTTGCGTGACCGCGCTCTGAAGCACGTGTCAAATCAGTCCAATGGAGCAGCGAGAAATCACGAGTGGGGTGACATAAGCACCAGAAAGTATAAAAGTGCATCCAGCAGAGTGCAAACCAGCTTCTGCTCTTCAGTAGCACTCTGTGTATGTGTCTGTCTATTTACTGTTGTCTGTCCGCACAAGCATATATAAAAAACAATCATGAAAATGTCTATGGCGAGCGAACGGCATTACAAACACTGTGTTCCTCGCTGCCCACGATATCTGGCGGCAGGGGATACACACGATTTGTGTGTCGTTTGTTTGGGAGCGGAGCATGCACGGTCAGCTTTCGAGCAGCTGATTGTCATCACTGCGAGCTCTCGCTGTGTATGCTCCGCTCTCGCCTGGCTGTGTTTGATGAGGGCGGCCAGGCTCGCGATCCCGCTGGCAGCGGTCCCGCTGTTGCCGAGGCACAGCACAGACTGTTGTCGTGGGGATCGTGGGTGGATTTAGCGGAGGGATCTGAGACGGGCTCGTCCTTTTCTTGGTCCTCACCCGCTAGATCCGCGGCTCTCTCTCAGTGTTCGGAAGCCCGCACTGAGGTCCCCCCCCACCCCCTCGAGAAAAAAGAGAAAAAAAGGGGGAAAAAAATAAAAGACTGAGAGAGACGCTTCATCTATCTTCCTCTGGATGTGATGAGTGTCGAGACAGAGGAGACTGTGGACTCGCCACCACTGTCCCTCGCGTATGAGGTGTGATTCGTGATTATGGGGTGTGTTTCGTGCATTCGCAAAAAAATAAAATATTGTTTGGCCAGCCTAGAAACAGGACGCTCGTCCTAAAAATAATTAGATGAGCGTTTTCTGAATTCAGATCACAGCCTTCACGACAGGGGCCTTCCGTTTTTCCCCGATCTCCATGCTGAGGTGTCAAGATCGTGGGAGAAACCGTACTCATTACAGCCCCACAGTCTCGAATTATTCAAAAGAACATCATGGGGCTGAATGATAAGGGATATGGGACGATGCCAGTGGTGGAGCAGACGCTTGCGAGCTATCTCTCCCCATCATCAGCATCGTCCCTGAAGGCCCCGAAGCTTCCCACCAGGCCCGTTAGGCTTACATCGAGTCTGGTTTGGAAAGCTTATACGGCGGTAGGTCAGGCTGGCGCATGTTTGCACACCATGGCGGTGTTAAATAAGAAACGCCGTGGCATGTGTCGATTTAAAAGTATGCACATTCCCTACCTTATTTGTAAATGAAATTCATCTCCAATCCTTCTTCTGTTGTTTCAGGTTTATCCATTGTTATTCGAATGCAAGAAAAATATAGCTGGTTTTCCAAGTAAAAACCGCCAAATAAGGTTTACACATATTTAAGCTATGATACGTAATCAGAGGGTGGGGATATATCAGCTAAATAATTTTTTTATTCACAGTGAATAGGAGTTAAAACTCCCACCCAGGTGACACTCCAATAACAGACCATGCAAAATACCCAAAAGTATTTAAAATATTGCAAAGTAACTTTGCAACCTTGCAAACAATATTAAAATCAGAGAAGGACTTCAACTGTAAGCGACACGAGCATATACGCAAAACAATATGATTTTTGTTATTATTAAAATGTTATATAGCCCACGTTTTTATATAAAAAATAATAATTTACCGCTTAGACAATAACGTTGACAATAACGTATATCTTCAACGTATGTTGTCTATGACCAAAAATGTAAGTTCCCCTTTAGGAACTCGAGCTGCGTCGAGATCCGCTTTGGGAACGCCCTTGCGTGACCGCGCTCTGAAGCACGTGTCAAATCAGTCCAATGGAGCAGCGAGAAATCACGAGTGGGGTGACATAAGCACCAGAAAGTATAAAAGTGCATCCAGCAGAGTGCAAACCAGCTTCTGCTCTTCAGTAGCACTCTGTGTATGTGTCTGTCTATTTACTGTTGTCTGTCCGCACAAGCATATATAAAAAACAATCATGAAAATGTCTATGGCGAGCGAACGGCATTACAAACACTGTGTTCCTCGCTGCCCACGATATCTGGCGGCAGGGGATACACACGATTTGTGTGTCGTTTGTTTGGGAGCGGAGCATGCACGGTCAGCTTTCGAGCAGCTGATTGTCATCACTGCGAGCTCTCGCTGTGTATGCTCCGCTCTCGCCTGGCTGTGTTTGATGAGGGCGGCCAGGCTCGCGATCCCGCTGGCAGCGGTCCCGCTGTTGCCGAGGCACAGCACAGACTGTTGTCGTGGGGATCGTGGGTGGATTTAGCGGAGGGATCTGAGACGGGCTCGTCCTTTTCTTGGTCCTCACCCGCTAGATCCGCGGCTCTCTCTCAGTGTTCGGAAGCCCGCACTGAGGTCCCCCCCCACCCCCTCGAGAAAAAAGAGAAAAAAAGGGGGAAAAAAATAAAAGACTGAGAGAGACGCTTCATCTATCTTCCTCTGGATGTGATGAGTGTCGAGACAGAGGAGACTGTGGACTCGCCACCACTGTCCCTCGCGTATGAGGTGTGATTGGGTATTATGGGGTGTGTTTCGTGCATTCGCAAAAAAATAAAATATTGTTTGGCATGGAGCAGCGAGACGTCACGAGCAGGGTGACGTAAGCACCAGAAAGCATAAA